CTGTCTTTAATTGAATGCATTTCTATTCACTGGCTTCACACGAGCCTAGTGCTGAGGATAAGCATCATCTGGACATAAACTGACCCTGGATTCTCCTCAGGTCTCGGTTTAGAAAAATAAGTTTCTGGTCTTGTGACTACGGAGCCCTCAGAGCAGCAGGCAGAGCGTGTCCTGGGGCACTCAGAGCAGTGGGTGGGTGGTTTGGGGACATCAGCCTGGTGTCTGCAGGAGGAGCAGCCCAAGGGGGCACTCAGCTCTGCTCTCCCTTTCAGTTCTGGACGTGAACGATGAGAGCCCCACCTTCTTCCCAACCATCTACAATGTGTCACTGCCCGAAAACGTGGCCCGGGACTTCAAAGTGGTCCGGCTCAACTGCACGGATGCTGACATTGGGCTGAATGCTGAGCTCAGCTACTTCATCACAGGTATGAACCCCTTGCAAAACGCTGCAAAGGGGAGCTTTGGTTGTGGGAAGGAGTGGGCTACTCCAGATCATCTGGTGTTCGTATAACTCAGCTTTTCCTATAACCAATGCTCCTTGCCTTCACTGTGAGGCAGGCACGGCACTTGGTGTGGCAGAGAGAAGGCACTCTGCCTGCTTTTGCTGTGGAGAAACTTTGCCTAGGACAAGATAGGAGCTTGCCCTATGCTTACCTTACTCAAAACCATGGAAAATGCAGCCCTTCAGGAGGGCAGGCTGAGCTCTTGTCATTTTCCTGGCCAGGCTGGCCCCATGCCCGGGCTGCAGCATCCCCTGCAGCGTGGGCTCTGCTCCCTGCATCCAGACAGCGGATGACCTGCTCCTTGTCCTTTGCTGCAGGTGGGAACCAGGATGGCAAATTCAGCGTTGGCTTCAGGGACGGGGTGGTGAGGACAGTTGTGAGTCTGGACAGGGAGACAGTGGCATCGTACACGCTGATCCTGGAGGCCATCGGTAAGGATTTCCCACCGTTCCCATGGGACCACTGCCATGCAGCTATGTGCGGTGGCCGTGCACGTGCCAAGCTGCCTTGGAAGCGCAGCAGAGAGCTCACAACCTATATGCATTAGTATGTCCTGGTTCCACCACAACTTTTACAAACAGTAAATTCACCTCTTGGGCTCGTCCAGCCCTGGGGCTTTCCCTTTCCTCCAGGGAAGGCAAGACCCCCATTTCCAAGAGGGTCCATGCTGCCCAGGGCAGACTTTTGCACCACAGCATCATTCTCCCCTCATGCCATGCCAGCCCTTGGCTCATTGGCTACCAATTAATCCAGAGCTATCTGGCACAGGCAGAGGACCTGTGTGCCAGCCGCATCCTGGCCGTTATCCCCAGAGCTTTATAATGATGTGCCTGTTTACAGAAGACTTGGATGTCCCTTTTGAAAGGAGAAATAAGTGGCCTGGTCGGAAATCTTGGGGGCACAGCATTGCAGGTGCCAGGGGGTCTGCAGCAGGGATGCTGCACTGGCTGGGCACTCCGGACAGGCTCCCCAGTAGTAAAGGGACCATCGTGCCCCTCCAATGGGTATCAGACGGCCTGTGTTTTCCTGGCCACCAGATCCCAGCTGGGTGGGTTTAGTGCTCACTTGCATCAGGTATGTTGGAAAAACCAAATCCAGCCTATGCTCCCCATTGCCTTGTCCTTCATGGCAAAACCAAGAGCCGTGCTACCATGTCCCGATCTACTGGCCATCAACTGGCCCTGGTGCTCTTTTGCTGTGAGCTGAGTCTCCAGAAAACTCATCAGACCCCTGTCCTTCTACATCTCCTAAATCCCTGACCTCCAGCAGTCCTTTCCAGCATACATTACCCTCCTTGTCTATGAAGCTGCAAACCCTCTTTAATGACAGTTGTGTTTCTGGCCCCGCTGGGCAGTGGTTCCATGACAGAGCCTGGGGGTGGTTTGGCTTTTCCTTTTTCTTTCAGGATAAAAACCTCATGGTTCAGTGTGGGATTTGGAAGCTGCAGAAAAGATGGAGGATTTGTTTAGAAATTTTGGTCCTGCTGTTTTCAGCAGCTGGAGGCTGAGCACCTCCTGTGCAAGGAGGAGATGGAGATGACTGAACCTCCCTTCGTCTTTCTCTCCCATACAGACAACGGCCCCACGGGGAACCGGCTCACTGGGACCGCCACCGTCTACGTGACCGTCCTAGATGTCAATGACAACCGACCCATCTTCCTTCAGAGCAGCTATGAAGTCAGCGTCCCTGAGGACATCCTGGCTGCCAGCAGCATAGTGCAGGCACGTGGTTCTCTTCCACCAGGGTCCCTGTGTGGGCAAAGGGGGACCCCTGCTCTCTGGGTCCCGGCACCACAGCTGGGAGCTGCAGGAAGCCCAAGGAGGACATTTTCTCTCCCCACTGGGAGTCTGTTCCCCTGGGCCAGCGCAAGATGTTCTCTTGCTTGTGCACTGGCCTGCTCCTTTGGGAAGGCAGGCTGTGAGGAGAAGACAGCAAAGTGCAAGGGAAAAATAAAAATTCACCCCACTTTTGCAGGGGATGAGAAGAGAAAACCCAAGCCCTGTGTTGGCAAGGCCCCTTTGCCTGGCTGCATCCCTGCTTTATCCCTCCGCCCAGCAGAGAAGGGACCAAAAGTGGAAATCTCCAGGGGGAGGGAGAGGAGTGCATGCAAAGAGATGCTCTGAGAGCGGGGCAAAAAATGGAGGGAGAAAAGCATTTGGACTTTGCTTTCATTTGTGTTACTCTTTGAGGGAGCAGTGGGCAGAGCTGAAAGGCTCAGTGAGCACTGAGTGAATGCCAGCATTCACACGGCCTCCGAGGGCTTCCAGCATCCCTTCAAACCCAGGGCTCTGCTGGAACGGGCACCAAAGGCTCTTTGCAGAGGGCCCTGGGAAGGCTCCTACTGCCTTGAATACCTCTCCCAGCCTGGGAAAAGGGGTAGCTTTGTCCCTGGCTCTCACAGGCGGGGTGAGTCACCAGGAGAAAAGAAAGGAGCCTTTTCCTTCTTACAACAAAGGTTTGCTGGGAGCTCATCATGCTCAGAGTGGCCAGTCCTCAAGTGCGAGCCCTGCGGCTACTTGTCACCCATTGTGCCGTGGTACAGGGTATGTGATGCCTGTAGCACCACACCTGGCTCTGGGGTCAATCATCTGCCTGCAGTCCCGGTGTGCAGGAAGCTGTTGTCCTGATCAAAAGTCGGGGAGGTTTCGACGCGATCCCAGGAGCGAGATTAAGACCCAATGAGGTCAAATACCATACACCCGAACCAACTTTATCAACAATAAAATGTAGAAGCGATAGGAAAGAGTTGAATAAAAGGTAGAAATTAAGCAAGAACTTGAGCTAGAGAGGCAAGAAACAGTTACCACCCAAGTTCCCGTGACACTCCGACTATCCACAGGCCTTGGACGGTGAACACGCATTCATGGGCACACACATACACTCACGCCTCTGCACATACATGCACTCACACCTCTCCTGTCCCCACAGGCACATGCTGCCTGCCAGTGCTCTCCTGCAGGCTTTTATAACCGGTCCGGAGAAGGTCCATTAGGCCAAGGGTTTCCATGGCAGTGGCACATCCCGCACATCCAGCACATTTGGCATGTCCCCCTCTCAAGCATGCCCATAGGGTATATGCTGCATGCTCCCTCGTGGTGCACTGCACATGTCCCAGCACATGGTGGCAGTTGTTGGGGCTTGTACACCCTCCCACAGGGAGGCCTGACTGTTCACACCACACCAAACTGGATTCAGCAGTGGATCTTCTTTGTGCACAGTTCAGTTTCCAAGCAATCTTCGGGACAAATATCCCACAGTTCAGTCTCCCACAGCTGTGTGGGCGGAGAGGAGCCCTGCCCTGGGACTCCTAAAACTGAGCTGGTTTTGCAAATGGAAAGACTCAGAATGGAGGAAACCCGCGTTTGACCTCAAAGACCCTTTTCTTAGAGCACACTTCCCAAAAGAGACAATTTTGGCAGTCTGTGGCAAAAGAGAGACGGTATTTGGGGGAAGTTTGTTTTCCACAGGACAAAATCAGAGGGTTTAGTTTAATTTATGTCTTTAGTGCAAACCATTTGTACCAAATACCTCCCCCTTCAAATACCTCCCCATGTCCCCATGGCAACAAGAGAGTTTTGGAAGGTTTCCCCATCCCCTTCACAGAAAGCCAGGCAGCCCAGGGCAGGAGGAGACCAGGAATGTCCCCGGCAGCCTGGAGAGGTCCTGATGCCGAGCTGCACCCCACAAGGGTCAGAAACCATGTGAAACCCAGAGAGATGGGGTTTGGTGGTTAGCACGGGGCCTCTCCAGGCACAGAGACTTCACCCAAAGGGGTGAACTTGATGGCTGAACTTAGCACAAGCTGCAGACCTAGAAGAATTAAACCACTTTTTCTTTTTCCTCCTGATTCCTTCAAGCACTTCAGACTACCTGGTGGCTGCTGTACCCTTTCCCAGCTTTGCTCTGTGGTTTTCCAAGCTGGCAGCACCTGGGAGCCTCAGAAGGCCTCTTTAATGCATTTATGGGCGTTTACCTGCTCCTGCTGCTCTTTTATTGAAGCAGGTTTCCAGCAGACAGCTGTAGCATCCTTTCAAGCATCAGCCGCAGAAACCCACAGCTCATTGCATGGGAAGGAGGGCACAGGGACTAGAGGCAATCTCAGTTGAAGATTGCGTTTAGTGGAGCATCCTTTTGCCCCAGGATGCCTCTCTTGAAGGTGATATTTGTTAGGCAGCCAGATTGCTTGTTCAGGTGCCTCACAACTTGCACAATGTTTTCCAAAAGAAATTGAGCAGCAATATTTTTCTGGACCACTTGGTGATAGCTCCATCTGGGTATAAGTTCAGATGCCTCCACCTCTCCTGCCAGGAAACAGTAACCTGGAAAATATGTGGGAGCCTGAAATAGCAACATCTCCTGGTGCCTTGCAGAGCCACTGCCTGGAAATGAGCTGCTCAGAGGGGCTCTGCCAGGATGCCAGGGGCTGCTTGACAAGCTTGAACCAAAAGCTTGGGAAAGAATAGCAGTGAAGGGTGAGTTAGTTCCCGCAGAGCAGGATCACATTTTGGTGAACTCTATAATGTCCCGGTCCTGGCTGGTGGCGGGGCTTGTGGGGCAGGCACGCTGGCGCTGGGACACTGGCCGACTCCTCCTGAAGGTGTTGATGGAGCATCGCAGGGAGCCCAGCCGCTTCCAGAGCCTAAGCTGGGGCTCGCTAGCATCCGCCAGGTGATGGGGCATACACTCGTGGGACCCAGAGCGGGACTGGTCCAGCGCTGCCGGCTTGCAGAGTGTGATAAAGACAAGGAAGGTTAGCAGGAGGAGGAAGATGCAGACGAGTGCGATGATGACAGACAGTGGGTCTGCCTTCTCGGGTGATGCAGTCATGGGTGGGACCAGCCTGGTGGTTGAAACCAAAAGCCCAAGGAGAGGTGGGGTTGGAGAGGTCCCATTGCCAGCATCCTCTGTGCTCATCTTCCCTGCAGTGCACAAGATGACACAGAGAATCAACACCGGTGATTATCACCTAGAAGCTGGACAGACAGCCACCCTCTGCCCAACCTGCTGGATTTTTGCCTTGCTTTGCTCTCCAGGGTCCTCCCAGCCATGTTTTCTGTGACACAGGGTGACAGGAATCTGTCTTCTTTGCCAGTAGGCAAAGGACAGAGGTGGAATTTATATCTGCAAAGTAGTGCCCTGCACTGAGCTGCAAAACCATCTGGCAAAGAAACCTAGCACAGGTACCACATCCACGCAGTACCACAGCCTCAGTGATGGCACCCCTAGGGAAAACACACACACAGGTTGTGTGAAGCTTTCCTGGGAGCGACACATAACCATATTCTAGAGAAGGTCCAATATCCTTCCCCCAGACTGCTGGAGTTTGGTTCTCTGTTCCCCAGAAATGTGGTTTTGATGAAGTGACTGTCATTTGGGTTTTTTTTATTATTCCCTCTCCCCAAAGAAAATGGATTATGGGTTGAACCTCCACCCAGATAACTCCTTGGTGAGCTGCAGTATTGCACTAGCATTGCTTTTTTTTTTTTTTTTTTTTTTTTTTTTTTTTCAGGGGCAAACTCTAACACCCTCACCCTGCTCGTGCTGAAAATCCACTTGGGTTAGGCATTTTTCTGACCTGGTTTCAGGTTCAGACGTGTCATGGGTTTCTCAGCCAGTTCTGCAAACTGTGATGCAAACCAGCTTCCCAAAGCCTCATCAGAAAGAGCTCTTACAGAACACCTGATGGCAACTGAGCAACTTCATCTTGAGGCTTTGAGCAACCTGTTCTAGTGGAAGGTGTCCCTGCCTATAGCAGGGGATTGGAAATAGTTGATCTTTAAGGTTCCTTCCATCCCAAACCATTCTGTGATTCTGACTGTCCCTTCCTTTCCCCACCAGCTCAGATCCTCCCCAGCTTGCATCCTCAGAGCAGTCTGCACCCATCGTTTTGCTCCTGTGCCCCCTCCTGTGCCCATTCCCAGCCCTGGATGGGCTGTATTGGAGGCTGACATCTCCTCATCTTGGATACAAGGACTGGGCAAATATTCCTCTGCCAACCCTCTTGGCTTGGCCCTTGGTGTTCTAGCCAGTATGATGCTGCAGGTAGAGCTTTATTACACTGACTTTCTGACAGAGATGTGGGAGTCAGAAGAGTGATGGAGAGCTGTTAGACTGGTCGGTGGCCAGGAAGTCTCCTGGCAAGTACAGATTTGGATTGAGACAATTTAAAATTATGAATTTAGGAGGGGAAAGGCAGGGCTGCAGGGACCGCCAGGGCCTCTGGGTCTGCTCTTGCAGCCACCATCCCAAAGCCACACAGGTTTGTGTAGGCAGCAGCCAGACGTTTACTGGTAAAGCACTCAAGAAAGGGGAGAAGAGACATCAGCAAAATGTCTTTAAGCACTAAGCGGAAACTATGAGATGCCTTGGCAGAGACGAGTCCAGTGGAAAGCAAGATGCTGACTCAGAAGAGACGAGCGTCGCTCACCGTCCAAATGACGCAGGAGGAAATAACCTTAAGCAAATGCTGTGAGAGCTACAAGGCCGAGCACTCAGAGGTTAAGGAGTCCTTGAAATCAGAATGTCTGTGCCACAGCCATCCCCTCTGCATGTTTCCACTGGAAGTGGGTGCTAGGTTTGAGGCACTTGGGAGGTGTGATTTATTTCTGGAATACTTTGCATCACTTGGGCTTAAGCATTCAAAGCTATGATGCTGGCAGCCTCAGGGCAAGGGCTGTATCAGCCTGGGAGCTTGGAGGCTCAGGGGAGCCTGGTCACTTCGATAGGTCAGAGCCAGGTCTGCACTCAGAAAATGGGAAATCCAAAAATAAACGGGTCTGCAACTGAGAACGCTTTAGCTTGGGTGCATATTGCAAGCAGGCTCAGGACCAGGGCTCTCATCCCCTGCTCCAAAGTGACAATTTCACCTCTCTTCACCCCAAGAGCATTTCTCTATCATGCAGCCTCTCCTTGCCTGGCTCAGCCGCTTCCCCTCCAGCTCCAGCACTGTCCCAAAGACCCCCTGTGCTTACCCTGCACACCAAAGGCAGCCTGAATCAAGGTTACCACGGCTACCTTCATTTTGGTATTTGCTAACCACACATGGTTTGGCTTGGTGGCCTTATATTGTTTGTTAAGAGCGAGCCGGGAGGCGTGGGTAATTTCTTCGAGTTGTTTTTTGCTCTGTTGGTGGTGGCTGTAGGGTTTTTCTTTGTGAGCCAGCTGACTGTATCCCCTAGAAACCCATCCGGAGGGATCACACTGATGTTTTCCCAGGCTTTTCCAGTCGTTCTCTCTTTTCCTCTTGCTTCCCATCCATCCTCTCCTCTCCCGTGGATTCAGGGAAGTTCCAGACTGCCCCTCACCTAATGTCTGAGCCCTTCCAGAAATGGAACTGCTAAGAATGTGGGAAATTTTTGCAGAATGCACATAAGCAGTGACCTTTTTTAGGGCCAGTAAGTTTTCAATGTATTAATGTAGAAAAGGGATTTCCCCCTCACCTCCTGCCCAAGACATTGCTACAGCCATTTCAGCAGAACTTCAGCAAAAAGCCACCAAAATGGGGGTCCTGCCAGCAGGAAGGTCAGGGTGTGGGAAGAGCAGCATTCCCTGTGCCCACAGCGTGCGTGGGGATGAGAGCTTCCCCCATGGGCTGCCTTTACTGAAGGACGGCAATGGACCAGTCACCCCCAGTGTTTTGTACTCACCAACCAAGCTGCTGCCCAAATCCCTACTTGTAGCATCGCCCCTTCCCAGCATCGCTGTCCCACCCAGGCCCCATGTTATTAAGCCATGGGGGTTAATAAGAGGCTTGCCCAGCCTGGCAGCCCCCCGGAAGTTTCATCCCTGCCTGATCAGCTCTAACACGAGACATCCCCGCGACTGCTTGGGACCTAGCACTGGGCACCAGGCAGCCGAGGATCAGAGGGAAAGAATAGAAATATCAAAAAGCAAAATACTCCTGAGGGAGGTGGGAAGGAAGAAGAAATTATTCTCATGGGTGAGCAGCAGAGAGCGTTATTCTGCCCAGTGCTGGGCACTGCTTGCCTGGCCTGGCTCCGCTGCCCAGTTTGGCAGGAATTTTTCCATATGCTCTCCCTCCCTTTTCTCAAACTGCTGCAAAGAAAAGGCTGTTCACATGCACTTCTAACTGCTGCAAAGAAAAGGCTGTTCACAGGCACTTCTGTGCCTGTAACGCAGCTCAGATGAAAAGCAGCTCTCTTTTCCCTCCCCGTCTACCTTAGCGACGGTCTCCTGGAGCTCCCCAGCTTTTCCCACCACATTAAGTCTCTCCACTTGCAGGAGGAGGTGATGCTGGAGGGTACCAAACCCCAAGCTTACCAACCCAGGGTACTGAAAGCAAAGGGCTGGAAGCGATGCTGCACCCCAGCACCCTCTCCGTGAAGCGGCAGCGCTGCATCTGCAGGACTTTCCCCCCTCCCATCACCCAGACGGACAAAGCAACGCGGCGCGGCGGGAAAGGGAGGAGGGATGCCTGACTTCCCACCCACCCCAAACTTTTCATGTCCCCTCTCCACCCCGCTTGCAGCTCTTTTCCCAGCAGCTGTAGGGCTGAGAGCAGCAGCTCTGCCACCGGGGATGGTGCCACATCCCTGGCCTCTCTGGTTCGCCCCTCGGGGTTAGCTTAAGTGGCCGCCGGTGGGTTTGCCACAGGGGTTTGGGCTCCCTACCTCTCAGCAGCCGGCCAAGCCCGGACTTTGCCTCCCGCACGCCTGCCTTGCTGCTTCTCCTACCTCCTGCTGCCGGCTGCCAGCCCCCCCCTCCTCCCTACTGGAGGGTGGGGGAGAGGTGGCAGCTGGGATGGGGACAGCCTGCGCATGCAAAGCCAAGGGGGGGCCCAAGCCCCCTCCTGGGCTTTGCCAGCACGCTGGTACCCCGCTGGAGCGATGGGTCGAGCTCCCCCCCAGGACGTCTTTCCCCGGGCTTTGCCCCTGCGGGAAAGCTGAATGGTTGAGCCCCGGACGCTGGGGAGGGGACGGTGGGCTGCCCTCCACACGCTTGCTCTCCCCCCTTTTCTCAACAACTTTGCACAAAGCCGCCGGCTTTTTTTCCAGCCTTTTATTCCCCCTGCTTCCTCCGTCTTCTCTGACCCCTTTCCAGTAGGTGGGGGCTTTGAAAGGTGGGCAGCAAAAGGCTGGCTTTGCCTGCAGCCCGCTCTCAGTAGCAGAGGGATAAAGCAGGCTGGAGGCACCTGGCACTGTACCTGCAGCAGAAAGAGCTTTTCACCCCCAGTTGCACTTAAGTTAAATGGTTTTCCCAAGTTTGGGACAGTCTGTCAAAGTCCCACATCAAATCTGTGATGGCAATGGGTCAAAACAGTGGCAGCCGAGCTTTTTCCTGGTGGCAGGCAGTGGCAGGAGCATGCATTGGTTTAATGCAAATTACTTTATTTTTTTAGTAAAAAAACAAATACCTGGGCTGACCCATTTCACCTGTTTTAGGTGCTGGAGCTGCTTGTAGCAAGTGCTTAGGTGAGCTGAGAAAAGGGCAGTTGTGGGGGTGTTTGCAGGGTGTGGTTTGCTCGTCACATAAAATGTTCCTGTTTACTCTCCTTGAAATGCATTTTCCTGGACACAGCAGGGCAGGGAATGGCACAAAAAAATGCAGAGATTTTCCTCCTATCCCTTAGGCTTCCCTCTCACTGTTGCTGCAGTGTTTTGGCTGATGGGATAGCTTTTCCCAGGAAGGAACCATCATGTGGGACAGGCTGGTCTCGCCATGCCAAGGCAGCTGGTGTGCCTGGGCATCGCCTGCCTGCTGCTGCAGAGCCCATCCATCACCGGGAGAGGAGACAACCCAGCTCCTGTCCAGCAATGGCCCTGGGGAGCCACAAGGGAGGGAAGAACTGGTGCAGGAGGGTGAGGTCT